AATAATCACAAATAAACAAAGAGGAAAGACCTCACCAAATAGATGAACCAAAATCTTCAGAATCAGAGTTGAAGAAGACCCAAAATAATAGACCGAAATCAAATCTATCAAACCAGCCGAATTCGAACCAATCACGAACAGAGTATTTTTTCGAAGCTTGAACACAAATGCCACCAAATTGATTGATTAGCCCAAAGCATTGACCAATGGTCAACAATTGAATTTACCCAGCAAAGTCACCAAAAAACAAATCAATATAGATAGCACTCCTCTGTCTCTTCGGCCGAACAAAACTAATATCAATATATATATATATATATATATATATATATATTATGAATCTAGGGTTTTGTAATCAAACCCTAATTGTTACCAAATTAGATTGGGTCTCCTTAAATATAATATATAAAAATATATTATACCTAAACCAAGTCAAATTGAAACTCTTTAACAAACCAATTGGGTCCCACACTCCAATAAGGAGGTATATCTCAACACGGGTGAGTGAAGAAGTAATATGAGCGATAAAGGATAGCGAAAAAAGGTAGAAGAACATGTTAGGTGTTTCTATGGAAGGAATGGAAGGAAACGAAAGCATTCTCATCATTCTCTCCAAAGATTCCATGCTCTAGTAATTCTTTTTGGCTCTTACACCGCTATTATATTTTGCAAAACAGTTTACACTAACGGCTAATAAATTAGGGAGAATATCAACAACAAAAAAAAAAAAAATAGAGAGTAAGAAAAATAATTACAAAGTAAAAAATGTACAAGTGAATCATACATTGAATTGTGCAAACAATACTTATACCTTTATTACTTTGCTATTATATTTCTACTCACTATTTTTTTTTGAAATTTTCCCAATAAATTATTCCCATTTACCATACTATTACAATTATCACATTTTTATACTATATTATACTTATAATCTTATTTGTTAATATAGTATTGGTATAATGAATTTCATCATTTTTGAATATCTCTAATATTATGTTGAGTACTAAATTGACATATCAAATGAGAAGATAAAATGATGAAAATATATAGCCATTATTATATTATTCAAAAAACAAAATCAATTATTCTATTTACACTGAAACTAATCAAACAACACAATACAACCCTCTTAGGTGTAAAACTAAAAATAAAAATTCACTTCACTTATGTAAAATGGTTGTTTTGGATTTTGTCACTGGTTAAACTTTTTTAAATAAAATAAAATCCAAGTTTCTAGCACATTTCCTAATTATATAAAAATTTTCTACAAAATAATGTGGATCAATATGTACTTTATCATTTAAAATAAAATATTCATAAAATCACTTTTATATGCAAAAAAAAATATATAGAGCTCTCATTTGGGAAGTTGATTATTTTAATTTTTGACTATTGTAGTAGCATAAAATTTTTATGTTTAGGAAGATGGTTGAATTTTTTTATAGTTGAATATGATGTTTGTCAGAGAAAAAGTAAAATGATTATGGATTTGATGTAATATTTTATCTCATTGACTATTTTAACTTATTTTATCTTTTTGTAATTTTTAATCAAAAAATCCTCCAAACCTAACTTGTCAAACACCATAATTTTAATTTTAATTTTTATATTTATACAACTACTCTATATAATTTTATTAATCAAAGATAAGAGATTAGGAGCATCTTTATTGGGAATATTATGACCTGGCTGTTTATTTTCCCATTGAAGAATATCATTGATGGATTAATCATGACTTTATGCGTCTCATTTTAAGTGAACTTAAAGCATGTTCATGCCAATAATAATGAATGTAGACCAAAGCTGTCGAATGGGTTAGGCATGTTTGGCTACAGGAGTGTGGAATTAAAGCTCTTCCATAACCTGGTCTGTTTGGCTGTAAGATTATATGGGAGTCATAATTCCATGCTGTTCGGTTGCAAAGACATCTGGATACACACACAGGATATAAATTTATGTGCAAGATTTTATGTTATTGTACATTGAAACAAACTAGGACATCCAAACAGTCATAAAAAATGCTTCTAAAAACCAATTTTGATTTTCAAATTCATTTTTGATGGAAGTGTACGAAACCTTGCACTCATCTTCAAGAAATGCTAAGAAACTTTGAAAATTCCATTCTCAAATCAATGATGTAAATTAATTGTTTTTTTTTTTAAAAAAAAAAATTCCCTAATGCCAAATAGGATTTCGTTGGCCCTCACAGACATTGGGGAAAAAAATATTCACATATATTAAACACTGAAAACAATTCCTCTTATTTATGTGAAATTTGACTTTAACTCTTAGAATTTCAATTTAAATCCTGCACTTTCAGTATTATTTTATTACAATGTGATCCCTCTGTCACTTATTAAAATTTAGAACAGAAAATGACCATGTGTAAAAATTAGAGAGCTCAAAATGATATTAAACTGAAATTATAAGGACTATCAATGTAATGAATATATTATACAAGTAATCTCTATAATTTCTTTTGAATTCCACTCCCTTTAGTTTTATGTATTATTTTTCCCTCCAAAATGTTAACAATACATGGTTGACCGACAACATTGCAACAAACTGAAAATATAGAATTCAAAGTTTTCAAATTAAAACTGCAAGAACTAAAGTGACGTTTCACTTAAACTATAGGGACTAAAAGTATAATTTACCCAAACCAAAAATAACATTTGCTGTACATCTTCATATAAAAAGAAGACAACAATTAATCAGGGACTAAAACATGAAACACTGAAAACAATAGACTGGTTATTTACCATAACATTGATGATCTACATGTTATAATGATACAATTAGAAGAACATGTCTCATTTCTATTGACTATATTCTTCAGTGGCTTGGAGTCGGATATGAGGGCGAACCCTTTCTGGTAGCCCTCTTGTCCACAGAATTGTCAGATCACCTCTCTTCCTCCCCAGCGTCAAAAAGTCCCTGCATCGACGTGCAAATTTATTTATTTATTTTTTAATTGGATAATATAAAGCCATTTTGCATTGAACAAGGTTTCTCTTTGCTTCTCGAGGTGAAAATTACCTAGTGTGAGCGGGACAATATATAGCAATGCCGGTTGGCCATGATCACCCATCAAGTTCAGTGCCACATAAGTAATAAGCAGACCTGCAATGCAATATATTTTAGATTTAATAACATCTCGAGTTTCAAAATTTCAATATACAACCAAAAAAAAAATGGCAATAAAACTATAGCAGCTGTTGTAATGTTCTTTCTACTTCATTGCTTGGTTGCGTTTTACTAATAAATTATAGACTCCTTGATATAATTGTAGCAAGCTTGACATGGTTTCTGTATAATTTCTTACCTAATCCATAAGCAAACATTGCCCACAAAAAGTATCCAGCTCAGAGTTCTTCTTTGCCAACCAATCAAACCTGCCAAGGACAACCCACATCACTTCAATTTGGCCACCAAATGGAGCATTAGGGCAGTTTATTATTATTTTCTTTTTAAGAACAGACTACTGTATCAATTAGATTGAGCGAAGGAACTCCATGAATATACGAAGTTCATAAAGTTTCTAGTCTAAATATTCCAATTTTGACATGCTTCAAGATCCAAGTCTGTTGTGAAACTTTAGTCAGACAAGTCTCAAAGAAAGTAATAAGCATATGGGCGGTTCTTGTCCATAAAAGCATAAGTCCTACCATTAACTTTCCCTGGATTCAAAACTATTCAAAAACAATGAAATATGGGAAATATACCCAGCCAAAAAAACAAGAGAGAGAGAGAGAGAGAGAGAGAGAGAAGAAACAAGTGGAATAGGAAAATACATAAACCTAACTTCAAGAATCATCGATTAAAATTAACTATGCTCCACAAGTTTCAGGTTTCAGGGACCAATCAGGAACAAAAATCGTTTCCAGACAAGGCTGCAGAAGTCAAACCGAAGTGAAAATGCTATTAGCAATCCTGGTAAAAGGATGTCACCAAAGCCAATGATACTGTAACCAGCCCATGGATCAAACATGCATGGAATCTTCAGTAGCATTCGAATACCATCCTCTCCGCTTTTATCACCACGAGCTACCTATAAAGTTCCAAATTATTGTTAAGGATTCAAAAGTGATATTATTCTGAACCAGCTAGCATAGTGCAGGAAATATTGAGAGGATTACTTACCACAATCATCACACTTTCATGGAACAACTTCTTCGAAACAAACACCCAAAATATGTCGTACAAGAAGGCACAACCGAGAAGAACAGTACCCACCTGATTCGCAAAATACACAGAACCATGTCAAAGAAAACATGAAGTGAGAAACGCTTTTGGTTTTGAAAACTGTTCAGACCACAGTGTACTGCTGACACAATTTTTATTTCAGCAATGAAACTTGGAACTACTAAACTAAGAAATCTAGGGTTCCCTTAAATGAAGAAAAGTGAGTGTGCACCCCAAATTGAACTTTTTCACAAATAACCAAGCCTGTCTATTAACTAACCTAGCCAAGCATGTTCATAGGCACAAACACCGTGTAACCTCAAAAATTGCACCCTAGATTACAGGGGAAATGGAATACACAAACAAACAAATAAATAAAAGCTCCTGTTTAGCATTGGACAACTTTCACTGTTCTCCTTTTCCATTGTCTTTGGAAAGGAGTGGTTATTTTGCTTATCACACATGGACAAACTTGTGTAACCCATAAACTCACTCACTTCTAATTCATTCTTATCAGGCTCATAGAATGTTTGCTTTTATCGGTTTCTTCTCTTTCCTGTCGGGTAAATTTCATTTAGCTGTGCAGCAATTACCTCATCCTTGACATGCCTAATAAAGCCAAAAGCCATTATTTGTGAATAGCCTTGTGTGGTGGTGATGCTTGGAATTCGAGCTGAAAGTTAGCTTGTGCAGGACGGTCAATGTCACGACCCAAACCTGCCCCTGAAAGTTTGGACATGACCGGCTTAGCCTAAGGCCTCAACTTTGCTATAATAAGTTTTACTCAATATTGGGACCGGAACGGAAGCAAAAAATAATAGAATAAAACATTCATTGAGCTGTGACTAGATGCCAGGATCTTAATGCATTACCATACATAAGTACATAACATTCCATACACCATTTACATTACTGGATGTGAAAAAGGGGGACGACCCAAAAGTCAAGTATTGACAATATATACACATGTCTATTCTTCTGAAATCCAACAAAATATGTCAACATACGGGTTTCCCAAAAATAAACAAAAGAGTCACTTCAAGTGACTCAGCAAAACGGGTCCAGCAAAAGGCTCCTGGGCTGACCAAAGGTTGTCCTGTGACCTGGTCACCTACAAAACATCCATAAAAAAAAATGGACTAAGCAAGGCTCAGTGAATGATAGTAATACAAATAGATCAAGAGTACGACTATAATTTAACAGTGCATATTATCATAAGTTGGTCTTATTCATATTTCCCTTCCTGAACGGCCTCGAGCCCATATAAGACAAAACGGCCTTAGGCCCAATGTAATACAGAACGGCCTTGGGCCCATCGTAGTACAGAACGGCCTTGGGCCCATCGTATTAGCAAACAGAATGACCTCAGGTCCATATCTCATATGCCAAAGTTCAAACATATATCAAACATATCTCGTATAACATAAGTTGTTTACTAAAAAAAAGAGTGAAAAAGATACCGAACAACATATATAAACACAATACGTGAATAGAGCATGATATTACACTACTATCACTCATAGTGATGCGGGTTAGCGCTGGTCCCCTCCTGTACGTGCCCTACACATAGCACTCAACTCGTAAGTACATCACCTTTCCTTAGTTTCCTCTTATTTCTCAATTATTCGATTTGTTAAGTTTCATGTAATTAAATGCATTGTAGGAACATCGAATGAACATAATAACACATTTAGAGGATCGAAAAGAGCGAAAGAAAATTACAGAATTTTTCAGCTTGGGCCGCACGTGCAAAAGTCCCCACCGCACGTGCGGACCGCACATGCTTTTATTACAGCGTAGCCCAATCTTTTTTCCCTATTTTCCGCACGTGCGGCTGTGCCTCCCGCACGTGCGGCCAAGGGCCCCGCCCGTGCAGTCGTATACCCTGTTTTGGCAGTCTGAAACCTAGACAAAAACTCAACTAACCAAACTCATTGAAAGGTATAAGATAGGGAAAAATTAGCTCAATATCATGATATATCATCATAATGAACATGAATCACAAGCATAATGAGTCCATTTTCCTCTTAAACTCATATACACATCCCAAATTCTTTATATTTCATCCATGCTTGGTTGATCACAATATTTCTCTATAAACAACAAGATGTATGTGTGAGGTCAAAACAAGTAGAGCTAAAGGAACATAGCTCAAAACAACCTCAAACACAAGGATCATCCATCAAAGCAACCAACTACCATAAGCAAGGCTCTTGTTGTAAACCCTAACTAACATGAATGTAAAGATTTCATTCTCAAATCAAATAGAGTGAGAGAGATGGATGTTCTAGTTAGATTATACATACCTTGAATTCTAGTCTCAAAGCCCTTTTCAATTCTTTCAATCCTCACTCTTGTTGACCCACTCTTCTTCCCTCTTCTTCTCTAGCTCCTTCTCTCCCTCTCTCAGGAGATATTAAGTCATCCATGTCTTTTATATCTATCTAGTCTAAGTTCTAAGAGTGTTGACTCTAAATTTTCCCAATTAATTCGTTACGAATCAAATTTTTACAAAACTTAATATTATGTCCTAAAAATTATGCGAATCATAAATGTAAAGTCAATTTTCGGTTATCGCGCCTCTACGGCTTCCAATTTCAAATTCAGCATCGTAATTTTAACAGATTTCTCCAATAACCAACAGATAGAATGACATAATTAAATAATTCAAATATGTAAGCACAACTCCACATGGAATTTCACACTAAATAAGTAATTATGCATATAACTAGAAATGTAAAGCACATAAGAGGGTCGGGTTATTACAGTCAACAAGCTTGATTGAGCAAAATAAACATACAAATTAAATTATACACAGACTAGTGACTTAGATGGACAGACACAAGAATCGCAACCATTTTGATTATTAGCAAAATTCTTCGTATTTTGTTATACAACATGTACCTGGGATTTTCAACTTCTTCAAGTTTGTGTGAAGCCTTGAATTATTTTATATAAAAAGCCTAAATAAAAACAAATTATACTATAATTGGCGCTATGGAAATCCAAAGAATCTAAGAAATGGTCCAGGCATGTTTAAAATAGTCATTTAGCAGCAATGAATACAATTGATTCAGAATCATTACCTTGAGATTTGGTACACACACGATCTGAAGAATTGTAATTATCAATGCAATTCCCTGATTGAAGAAGAGATAAAAGAAAAATATCATTATTTGAACGCTGCATGAACTTAGAAAAGCCTATGCATGGACAAAATACTTGGCATGCATAAGCTACTCATGCTCTTGGGTTCATCTATTTTACTGTTGTGTAATGTAGATCTCAATTTTCTAACTCTCACTAAAGATTATACCAAAGATATTTTGGTTATCCTATTCTCATTATAGTAAAAAAGAATATGAATTTATTTGATTTAACTGCGCACATAGCCCTTGATAGACCAGAATAGCAGAAAAGGATTCATGTAGCCAATCCCGTCTGGTGTGCTTTCTTGCACGACATATAATTGACCTGATTCGTAAAATCACACATATAGTTGACGGAAAAGGATTCACAAGGCTTAGTTTGCTGGTTGGTTGGTTGCCGTCAACTATCTCTCAAGAATTCACCATATTGGTCAATAGAAAAGGCCAAAAGTTATTTTTATCAGACAGGGGGAAAGCCTATGCCAACAAGGGTAAAATAATGTAAAATTGCTAGAAGAATAATTTCCAAAAGCAAAAATACAAAGTTCATCCTTACAAGTACATCTTGGCCTATCCAGGCAAAGGAGATATTTCTGTAAACTGCCCAAAAAACAGCAAATGCTATGCAGAATGGAGAAACAACCAAAGTAAGGTATGAGACAGCCCCAATGAAAGGTACTTCAATGAATAATTCTTCCGTACGTTTGAACCCCCTGAAAAAGTACTTGCCCACTTAGCTCCCCCAAAACTTCAAAAGGAAAATCTAAAATCTCATAACTATATGGAAGGCTCTAATGCAATTATCAGCACATCCACCAATTCATTAGAAAGAATAAATAACACATTGGCAGATCAACAGAAAATGACACATGCCAATGACATATTGCAAACTTTTGATAAAAGGAAAGTGGTTGATAGTGTGTCATCAGAACCCCATGCAAAATAAATAAATAATATATAGATATATAGATAATAATTGAATCGTGAAACATTCATTATATAGAATGGAAATCTATCCAGAATATTTTGCCATTACCAGAATTAAACAAACACTGTGAACCTAAATCTGAAAGCATGACATAGTACTAAATGTACTTGAGGCCTTTCCAAGTAATTATTTTATATTACCACAACACTGTTCACAAATAATGATTGAATTGTGATATATTACCACTCTCAACATGCAAGCATCATACTGCCTGCCTGCTTCACTATTCCACTCCACTTTTAGTGATAATCATATTATTTCCTCCATCCTATAAACAAGTTTGTCAGTCATATTATCCTTTCATGGCAATATATTTCTTTCTTTCCTTATCTTTTTTTTTCCCCCCATAATCATTCAACTTACCTCCCTGAGGTTCTCACAAATGCAGAAACATACCTTCATTTATCTTAAATTTGTTAGACTTGTCCCGCATGTCTCTCTCAGCCATCCAAGCTTAGTTAATATACTTGAGAGGTCCCTCTTTAACAAAATTACAATAGCTTCTCTGTCAAATCTGGCTGCTCACACAGTTCCATTGACACTTGCGTACCCTTATACCCTAACCTATATTCATATTTCTTTTATTGGAAAATAAGTCCCGTCTCACAGTAAAAATCCAATACAAAAATGACAATTAAAAACACCACCAGCAATAGTGATTGAAGCCACAGACACTGCAGCCCAACTCCTCTCTCTCTCTCTCTCTCTCTCTCTCTCTCTCTCTCATGGATCAGTCCCTCCTAAACCTCAGAACAGGTTTTCACAATTGCTCAGTGAATAACTTTCTCCAAAGATCTACAATTTTTTATTATCCAAAAAAATTGATATAATCTCAACAAAATCAAATAGAGCTCATTAAGTCACTTTGATGTTTCACATGCTTGATCTATCGCATTTGACCCATTATGTACCCGTCCTTATCCACTTTTTCCAGCTTATATACTTTCGTTCTTTTCTTTTGTGTGGGGGAGGGATTGGGATGCATGGTACCTTAGAAACTGTACAGGTTGATGTTGAATGGAAGTAATGACCAAAATGACATTGTCAATTAACTTAGATTAAAAGATCTTTATTTAAAAAAAGGGAGGTGGGGGGTGGGATAGAGGAGAATTAAAATGAATTACAGAGAAAGATGAAAGAAGAATGTGCACATAACATAAGCAAATTAGTCATCCTCATTCATGAAAAGTTGACAGCAGAAATCATTGTTTCTGCTAGGTACACAAAAGAGACTTAAGCGCAATCTAAGAAAATTGAGGTTAGGTAAGTAGGATTGTTAATAATTTCAATGGAAGCATAATCTACCCACACAAAGTCAGGTATGTTGGATTGTTAAGAATTTCAATGGAAGCATCAAATCATGCAGTTGGCATTCTTGCTCACCTGATTCTGAACTATTAAACAAATATTTTGTGCTCACGGAAAATTATTTCTTACGCCCAAATAAGAAGATATAGACATCTAAAACTCTAGACATGTGATATTCCTTCACTGGTACAATATATCCTTTGCCAAAATGAAAATTACTCTTACTCCCCTACCATTGAAACAACATTATATTAATATACCTCCAGAGGAAGAGCTGGCTCAACCATCGTACTGATATGCAAGTTAAAGTCCAAAAATCCAAACTTAACCAGAAACAGGGCCAAATTAAAGATTTTCAGGTTTTTGCTCAGAGAGTATAAGAGCTGAAGTACAAGAAAACTAAAAAAGAAGACAAGAAACATGCAAAGGTTTTTTTTTTTTTTTTCCACCACCACCTTGTCCTTACTGCTTGATTCTCATTGCAGATCCACAAGAAATTTGTTCTTTGTTTCTATCTCTCTTTCTCAGGAGGTTTAAGTTCTGTCTAATTTTAACCAAATCCCACAGGTTTTGCAACTTCATACACACCTGGTGCTGCTTATGAGTCACAAAAAATTCTAACAGGTTGCACAAATTCTTTTGCAATCATATTGCATGTTGCAAAATAACTACAGGGTCACAAATAAAGCATGGATTCAAAGCAAAAGGTCATAATTTAGTGTACAACAAGCTTATATCAACAAATGCAGACTTTCATAGAATGATAGAAGGCAAATGTCAAGAAGAGAAGAATAATTGTACCTTGATAGCAAGGCAACCAAGCAAGTTTGCGAAGTACAAGAAACTAAAAATCAGAATTCATTAACAACCACAAACAAGCCAACATCCGGCATGTTCAGATTTCAAATCATGTGGACTCAAATTGCGTAACTAAGTTTGCAAGGTAATAGATAAATAGATGAAGAAGATTTATGCACACAAATACATATATATGCATATATATATGCAAGTGGATACATTTGCATATTATGCTAGTATGTAGTAACACATGTGCAGATTGCTAATAAGCACGGATAAAACACAAGACAACATGACACATTGAGATGACAATGTTCAAAAAAATCGAGACATGACAGGCAAGTAAACAACAAAATAAATATATATTTATATATACATGAAAAGAATAACTATTTCTTCATATTTTATAGTACAAATTTATTGATAATAAATTATATCAATATAGTAAGAAATAATTTTTCCACATTGGAACT